GGTCATCTTCAGGGGGACTCGAAGGGCTACGGTAGACCACACCGAGAAGGAGAGAATCGGACCCGCGCAGCGGGATTTGGCCCACAGTGCATCGCAGAAGGGTGCAGGGGTGGTGTCAGCGAGGACAATCGGGATTGGTAGGGCCGCATGTAAGTACAGAGCAACCCCACCAGCCCTCCCTCGTTTTGAGTCAGCTCGAAAAATAGAGTGACCGTCTATCTAGATCTCCTCGTGAGAGACATCTGGTGTGTGCCAGGTCTCTGTGAGTGCGATTAGGGACTGTTGTTCAATGCAAGCTGACTTTTTATCATCGTTGAGTTTGTTGAAAAGCTGAGGCGGTTTGTGGACAAGCATTTCAACGCTGTCTCTGCTGCCTCCGAGGGTGAGGGCCGAAAGTTGATTGACCAGGGTGGTTAGAAGACTTAATATTTGTGCACCGGGTTTGCGTCTGAGTCCAAGCCTCCAAAGGGGCCTCTGGAGCGGTGTTTTCTGTTTCCTGTCTTTGTGGTTTCTGGGGGTGCTTCTTGCCTGCGAGTTTTTTTCGTTCCGTAGTAGCTCGGTTTGCTCGGGTCTTTTGGCTTTGACGGACGGAGTACGGATAAATGGTGGCGGGAACCCCATAATCATGGTGTACACTGAAACTGTAGAGACTCACAAATGTTACTGCTGGAGCGGGGTCTGGAGTAAAAGTTCCTTGAGGGAGAGATTTTGGCGCTAACGCACAAGCTTTACCTTGCCGTCTGTTTGCCCTGATTAAGGTCCACCACGGAGTTTACGCCCCAGGATTGTCCATTCTATGTCTGGGTCAATCTGCCCGGACCAACATGTCGCCGTCTATCTAGATAACGGCCTGCATCGTAGCCTGTTTTGCAGCCCTAAGCGCAACACACCTGGGAAACCCAAAGCGATATTCTTTAAACGTGGTCCTGCATTGACTCCCCAAGTAGCTGAGCGTTCCACAGTTGTAGAACCTGCTCGTTTGAGCGTTTCCCCACGATTCTGCGTAAATGAATGCAAGCCGTTTGATCAATCAGTCTATTTTGTCCTTCGGACCCTACGCTGATGAACCCTCCCTCTTCTCCTGAGACTGCGACTTGGCCAACGTCGGGTGTACAGAACCTCTTGCCAGCTGCACCGGCCATTCCGCACTCAACTGGTCAATTGGTCTTGCCAACCGTAACTGGGTACCAAGCCTCAGCTGCACACCTTCGATGAATTGGTTAGACAGCAACTGCCGGCGCGACACATTATCCAGTCCTAGCAGGTAGCCGCCTAGCCACTTCTGCAGTCTGGCGAAGAAAACGGTCGGGTCGGATCACAGTCCCATCCTGATCGCCTTGAACCGCCTCATTACATCCTGGCGGTCAGTCAGTGAGTCAAACTCCGCTTGAAGGCTTTTTTGTGTTGTCCCAATCCAACTTCCCAGAGTCCCTTCTGGCCCCGTCTTTACCCGAGCTCTGAGGAGCGTCTCTAGTGTCATCAACTTGCCCCGGTCGCTCCCTAATTCAGCCGCCTCCGTAACATCTTCATAGCTCTTCAGAAAGGTCCGCACATACCCCATCATCAACAGGTTGTGGCCATGGGATCCTCATCCATATCATGGTCATGGTGCCAAATGAAATGAGGAGAAACTCGCCACCAAGTCATTTACTAGCAAAAACTAACTAGGCGGTAACAAGTTACTGGACAGGAAAGTAAAAGTTTCGTATTCACCGAATGTCATCGCGCTTCTCCTTGAAAATTCTTGGATACCTATTGGCTATTACGCAATTGTAAACGGGCGCCGCAAAGAATTTCCTCAAATTCCGCAGCAAACTGCACCTTCCATCACACGCGCGGCGGAACCTCGACACAACCACGGACTACTCGCATGCCCCACACAATTACACTAGTAAAAACAGAGGTAGTAGGTTCATTATTTTCGGCACATCACTGCGAACGGACCCGACCGATTAGACGTACGTACCTCTAATGGGACTCCTCTGGGGCGTAGAGCTGAGGGTTTCTAATGTTAGCCTGACGAATGGGGGTCGTGTTATCGGAGAAACAATAGTTGACGTGGACGAATGCAGCAAAGACAACTTGGAGACTGTTGCTATCTAGAACTTCAAAGCCAGTATGCTAACCGAAGCTTAATGAACATGCTAGCACGCCGATCGAAGGAACCAAACAACTGAACCTACAGCAACACAGTGCAGAGTTGTGCCGGTGTATGGAAAACGGTTATGGCATACGAACTCTATGATTTCCAGTTTTCACTGCTTCGATTCAATCTAATCGTATTGTGAAAGAATTATTCATCTGAATAAGCACGTATACATGGGAACATTGTGCATGGCAATCTGCATTTCACATGGATGTTGACTTTGGCTGCAGCTGACTTGTCTATCAATCAAACATTTGAGTCAGTCCAGATGTTCCTACTTGAAGTCTATCTGCACCTTACGCCCAAGGTGCTTGCGCCGTATGTACCCCTCCGTCGTGCTGAGGTTTAGAGGTAACAGACACAAATTTTGCGCGGTTAGGTATTCGTGTCCTAAATAGTGTCCATTTCACATGGATGTTGACTTCGGTTGCAGTTGACCTGTCTACCAATCAAACATTTGAGTCAGTCCAAATGTTCCTACTTGACGTCTATCTGCCCAAGGTGCTTGCGCCGTATGTACCCCTCCGTCGTGCTGAGGTTTAGAGGTAACAGATACAAATTTTGCGCGGTTAGGTATTCGTGTCCTAAATAGTGTCCCAAAGAATACATTGTTACAGATCTTTATAAATGCTGAGTTACCGACCGCTGTCACTGAGTGGTACCATCTCGAGCCCAAAAGAATGGCATCCATCTTCTATGAGTCCAGGTTGCGAGCATCCCTAACGCACTGAATGCCTTCAAGTTCAATGGCTCGTTATACGTATATTCATCGCCCCTCTGCCGCACTCATCTTTCAGGTACACCACCAAAGAGAGCCTCGTTAGTTTTCTTAACTAGCCAAGTCAACACTGGAAACTCTGGCCAAGGTAAATTTCTGTTCATTTCCACAGCGCGTCAACAGTATTGTGAACAGGTTGTCCCATCTGCTGGGCTACATCGTAGTCTATGGCTTTCACGGGCACCATGGACTTTCGAATAAAATTTCGCCGCCATTTGCTCGCCTGCAATTTGTTTCCATCGAGTTCATGTGTCGTTTCCTACTACAAACAACAGCACTGTCTACCAGGTACTTACAGCACACTCAGACCTGCTGGTTAGGGATGCGTCAGTAAAAGGTTTTGTGGATCCCTCAAAACGCTTCGCAAAATAATGCTGTCTTAAGAAACCAAGAAACCAGTCTTCACAGTCTTCAACTCCGACAGCGCATTCTTCTCGATTGCTCCGCAATATACGCGATATATTTAATGGCGGAGCATTTGGAAAAGACACACCGACTCAAAACCGGTTGAATAGGCTTCCGACAGACCTGGCAAGTTTGATCAGAAATCTTCGAGCAGTATCAGTCCTTAGATCACCTAGCTCTCTACTCCACATTATGCCATCACTCCGTTTGGTATGCACAAAACAACATACCTCAAGCGAACAGGGCCAACTTGCTCGCACATGCTTCAACTCAGCTGGAGTATCGTTTCGACAGAGCTCCCAAATCACTTTGGAGGCTTGAAGTGGATAGGAGTCATAGGCAAAAGCCCTTTAATTTATCGACCGGTGTAGTTTGTGCTGCTATCAACAAACGTTTGATCTCGAGGCCTTTTACCTTGAAAAAACCGCGCAATTCGCCCCCTGTATCCAGTCAAACTTCAAGGTCGAATGGTAACGGTGAGAAATCTTCTGGTCCCCTCTGTATCCTCTTTCAATTGTTTCGGCTGATGCACGCCGAAATGGAGAACCGATGAACCGATGCTATAGCGTACCAAAATTTGTGCCATAAATATGCGAGATGGGTGTCCAGCGAAGACCGAACGCACTTACGAAATCACTTCCCAAAGGGCCAGCGCATTCGTCCTCTGTCTTGAACGATGATCGGGCAACTGCATCGGATATGTTGACTGACTAACTCATCATTTAGAATTTTCCGGTCAGTGACGCCCCTAAGGCTTAGAAACTGTGAAATTATGTCTTTCCAACTAGCTGTGGGAGGTTCTATACCCAGAAAAACATACATTCACCATTGCTTGAAGAGTTCTGCACACGTCCTTCCACGATCACTTTAATCAAACCCCGTGCCCATTACGAGTAATAAACGTAGTGGAACAACTGTTCACCGCTTTGCACGCTAAGACTTCATAAAACTGCTATCCCCTACCGGCACACCGGTCGCCGATAACATTGTTAACAGTTATCAGTCTAACAACACACAAGCACAAGAGTTTCACAGACAAGGCCAAGATTTTGATGGGACCATAAATTAGAAATTCTGGTCTCCAAATTCGTTAATATGAATTATAACCTTTTCATACTCCGTGATATCACCCCAAATCAAATCAGCATCAAAGGAGCAAAAAGTGAGGAAAATTCATGAATGCGTTATACGGCGTCTTCATCATTTTCGCAAACCATTTCTGAAAGCCGGATATTGAGAAATTTCTGCTCACTGGTATCTCTTTTTGCGGAAGAAACTTCTGGCAACAAGCATCGATCTCTCCATCTAACAAACATCTGAAGCGTTGTGCAAACAAGGAGTGTTTCCACAATTTTGTTCGACTACTTGTAATTCGTAGTAGGTTTCGTGAAATCAGTTAGTCCGGCGGGCTGCAGACCTTCAAAGAGAATTCCGGCGCTGAAGTTCCTGCAAGCGATTTGGTCGACCGGAACGGCTGTGGCTATAAAATATCCCATAGACTCGTCCTCATCCCTGTGTTATTCAAACTGACCTTGAGTTCAGTTTGATTGTCTATATGACCAGCCGTCTGAACTGGGACCAACTTCGGAGCTCAGCGTGTCATTTCTTGTTATCACATGTGAAAGGCTTTCTGTAAATATACTTGTCCTCCTAAAAGTTTTGATTTAAAAAACGTTCTCCTCCTGCCGAAGAACAATCACGTCACAGGCTAAGCCCCTTTAGATTAACAACAGCGCGCATCAAAAACTAGTGGCTAATCCCTGACCAAACCCAGTGATAAGGACCTATACAACTTGTAAACATATCATCGATGATAGTTCTGGGCATCGTCTAACAGGTGGGAAATGGACAGGCTGTGCTCAGAGCACGTGAGCATCAACCAATGGGAGCGCGAGCTGAGGAGCCGGTCAATAAAGCTGTTAGACCAAGCAACCAATCATAGCCGAAGGTCGGTCTCAACCAGCTTCATGCATCCCATCACACGAGCACTGCTAGTCAACACAACGGATGGCGCACCAGCATGCAGCAACGTGCTGGTGATCTCAGCTGGTGGAGAAACGTTCGTAGTTCAGTTGGTTTCCTCAGTCAAACTAACGGTAAAATTCGGCAGGGTTCCACTGTGACTTTTTCTTCTGAAATTCCGAAGTGTAAGGACTCTAGTCGGTGTCGAAGTCGAGGAAATTCATCAGCTTACTTGGCGTAATGGTTTGGGAGTTCTGAACAAGCAGTTCGATGATGTCTCGCATAAGTCAATATTTGGATTCATTCCTCAATATTGGTGTGAGTATGAGTGTCTCTGACCTTCGACCCGGCCTGGTTTTGCTACCCATGGATGTCTCAAAAAAGGATGAAGGTAACGAAACCACCCGTTTTCTGTGGTTGTTTAGATCAATAAGTTATAATTGGTGTGAGTATGAGTGTCTCTGACCTTCGACCCGGCCTGGTTTTGCTACCCATGGATGTCTCAAAAAAGGATGAAGGTAACGAAACCACCCGTTTTCTGTGGTTGTTTAGATCAATAAGTTATATGGAACTAAGTATGATTCATGTGCATGATCAGATAAATTCATGGGTACTAGTATAAGAGGGGAGAAGGAAAGAGTACACAGGTCTATGGCTGACGTGGTAGCACTTGAGAGACGTAATGTGTCCTGGTAAATCTGGTTTCTGGTTCATTTCTCGAATGAAAGCAAGCAAAGCGAGCTACCCTTAGTGGGTTTACTGACCTCAGTTCTCATGTACAGTCTGGGTGGTGTTCAAAAGGCCGATAGCAAATGGTCATGAGATGATGAACTGTATGCTGGTGATCGCATCACTTCAGTTGGCAATAAAGTAATCAGACTGCGGTTTAGCTTCGAATGCGGGAATGACGGTTTTACAAGCATTAGAGCCAGTTGCGCTGCTCCCAAGCCTTATTAATGCTACGTTTCTCATCATCGGAAAAATACAGCGGAGACGAAATTGAATGGTTTCCCTCTCCCAAAGTAGGACAGACGGAAGAGCTAAAACACAGATGCACAATCACACTAATCGGATATCACTGCCTCAAACAAGCTGACCGGATGGGTACGACTATCCGATAATAATCAAGGCAAGCCGACGGATCAACAATCTATCCATCGTTCAATTGAAACACGGTGACAATAAAACGTTTTTGACCATTATAAGGTTTTCGGTCTTGGAAAAACTGCACGCGTTTCGTCCTAAATGGGACCCACTAGGATTCGACCGCCTGAAATTCAGACTTTGTACTCCCAACCCCAAGACCAAGTGATTAGCAATCTCACTGCTTGATGAAGTACCTCCATCAAATGTTTCTAGAAATCTAACCGCTAGCGAATGGTCATTCTGGGTTCTATGTGACTGAATCTTGTTGCAGCCACGTGACGAGTCCCTATCAGGACACAACCCTTATTCGGTAGTTTTTACAGTGCCACGCACCTTTGCGTTATCTCTGGTATTTGTAAAATTCCCAACTCATGGCCCTGATATATCTTGGAGATAGTGAGACAATTACTTGACCAAATTCCCAAAAAATGTTGATGTGGCAAACAAAATCAGTCGTCCTCGATTGTTATCATTCATTCACGCTGTCACCCCTCACGCGTTTTGACGCGATCGACGATTGTTTGGACCTGTTTTTGTCAAAGAACTAATCTTAACTGGATGTATGGTTCTTGAATAAATAAATTATTGTCGGTAATCAGGGAGAATAAAATCGATTTTGTAAAAGAGCATCAGCGTCGAAAGATCTAAACAATAACTTCATGAGTCATCTAAAAATTCGTCTGAAAGGACATATCACAAGTAATGATAGACAGCGCTCATCTAAACTGTTTGATTATCTCTCGTTTTAGGAAGCAGTCATCTGCACCAACTAGCTTACTCTAGAAGTAGTGGAGTCCGTGGCGCACTTGGTTATAACAGCAATCGATAAAAAAAAGTAAAACGGTGTATTTGATTGTTTTCTGCAGCAGTGGTATCATCTCCTTCAGTGGCTTTCTGATAGAGAGGTGTTTGGCAAACAATTTATCTGGTTCAAAACTTTTTAGTGGTTCTTTTCAGTGGTTCTGTCACCTTTTTCCATCGCTACATTGATGGTACTGGATCTTTTCCGCGATCGATGTGCCTGCTGCACGATCCAACACCCGTTTCCTAGTTGTCTTGTTGTGAATTTGTCGACCACATCCGGCGCCAGCAGCGTTTCTGATACATCGATGGTCAGAAACCTAAAGATTCCTCACATCATTCTGGATCTTTCCGCGATCGATGTGCCTGCTGCACGATCCAACACCCGTTTCCTAGTTGTCTTGTTGTGAATTTGTCGACCACATCCGGCGCCAGCAGCGTTTCTGATACATCGATGGTCAGAAACCTAAAGATTCCTCACATCATTTCTCCACGGAGGCCGTGTCTCGCAACCACACAGCAATACATACCTTACTGTGACCTGGCAGACGTGGCTCTTGGGACCCACTGGTATGCCATTTCGATGCCACAAGTGAAACAAATTACCAAACGTGTTTCAAACTCTTGAAATTCGTGCACTTACTTCCTCAGACATTCCCGTCAGAGGTAATACAACTATCAAGGTACGCACAATTCTCCAGTGCCCCCTTGGAATGTAAGGGATTTGTTCAGAGATTGCACGTTCCGAGTTTGCATTTTGAAGGTTCAAGGCACGTGCGCAAAGACGGTTAGGTGATGGACAGTCTACTCGACGGAGCATACGTCTGGCCTTCATCTCAAAGCCTCTAAGATTCCCGCCAGTAAAAATTCCAATATTGGGTCTCATCATTTCATCGATGAGAGGGTTGAGGACGTTACTTATTGTGTGGAAGCTCCTCGAAAGTTCTCCATAAACTTGCGTTGAAGACAAAGCCTTCACTCGGTCCTCTTGACAATGTTTCAAACTCCACAAACCTGGTAGCTTAGTTTGGCATATTTTTGCGTAACAGATAACTACATTGGTTATTAGCTGATAGGCCACGCGATACTAAGATAACAAATGAACGAACAACTTTATGTCAACTAGTTACATACTCAGTCAGCATATGATTTACTGGGAATTGTCAGAAGTGCAAGGGTTTCGAACCTACGACCTCCCGGTCAGCAGCTGAACGCTAGACCCCACCAGCACTGTGACTAACTCGCACTCGGACAGGAGAGAGTGCTATTCAGAAGCGAATTCACATCACTTAGTCGAAGTTGATTGGCTCCTTGTGCAACGATTCACAATCACTTTGGCGCTACCAGTACTCATACGGTCCACGTGATCATCCACTTGTTTGATTGTGAAAAGGTGTAGGATGGGGAAATTAGGGTGTGACTGAAACACCTGGATACCACCCGAATGGATATCACTTGAACAAACAATCGTTTCACGTCACCGAGTAACATAATGGGTGGGCCAGAACAAAACGATTGCAATGACAAGCCGCTACATTCATCCAGTTCGAGTGATGACAGAACGCAAGTACTTGCAAAAATAGCCGGGACAACTGGTAATACCTAGCCATGATACCACTGGTGATTCTAGCTTCCAGCGGATGCAGAAGCCTGAAGTGCCTTACGAGTGTAATCCGTGAAATGGATCACTGCTTTCCCACCTTTCTACTCTATCTCATGTGTAAATGCACGGGTCTGATGAGTTCTCCTGTAAGTTCATCCTATTACTAACCATAACGTGTCCTCAGATGTTAATTGACCAGCTCAATGGTCTGCTGTGTGTTGCTTTCGTCCCTCACTTGGTTGCCATGGGCGTAATCGATTCCGGTTCCAAAATCAAAGGTCAACAGATTGCTCGGTGGGGTGTTGGAGCGTTTCCGTTGCGATACTGACGCTATGATCCCTAGGCCTGTGAGGCCTTACGAGGCCACCAACATGGGGTGCTGTGCCAACGACTCAGCTGGAGTGAACCGCGTCGTACATATTGGGATCGCCCAATTGATCGCAGCCACTTCAACCTGGGCCAGTTCACCACTAATATATGTCAGGCCAATTCACCGCCAAGCTAGGTCGACGCGAACTAGATTCAAGTGCGATTAGTCACTTAGCTGGGGGTGAGGTGGCTCAAGTGGTTAGAGCAAGAATTTACTGACCGGAAGGTCCCTGGTTCGAACCCGACCTCTGCCTCTCGACTTCTCCTGTCTAGGCTTGGGCAACCCGACAGTATCCCAGCCCTCGTGCTCTCTTTGGGTAGCATGGCAGCTAGGCACCGAAAGGGTGTTACAGCTGAATGAATGAAAACTAATTTAGTTTGCAATGAACCAATAGGTAGATTAAGCATATTCGCCATGTCCTGTTCAGAAATATAGGTGAGTTCTGTCAGGTAACTGCTGGATATGTCCACAACATGTCGTTAGAATGACCCTACTACGACCATGCTTGTTTAGACAAGAACTTAAATAGGGACAATAAACCATTTGAGTTAGCAAACCAGGCTTTGTACAACGAAATATCAACCGTGGAGCCGGCTGTCATCAGCCGAAATCAGCTCAGCCATGAGTCGGAAGATACGTAAATCCTTTCGAATTTTTCACGGTAAATGAAGAACCGTTTTCGTAGCTTCTTCATACAGAGAAAAGTAAGCAGAAAGTGGGGGAAATCCGATGGCACTCAAAAACATACCGGCAATTAGTCAGTCAGTCATGGCAATCCATAAAAAGTTTTACGTCTATCCCAACTAACTACGGAGCTGACGTATGAATTTGAAAAAATCTGTGGTGTAATACTTCGAACTTATCCCATACAAAGGAAATATACTGACGCTACAAACCCACTAGGCGTGCTTCAAAGGCGGACTCCGTCGAATACGACTCACCGGTCCAATGAAAAGTGGTCATTCTATGGTCCCAGCCTGCCAATTTGTCGCATTCTGGTGGAAGTGACGCAACAACTTGGTCGGAAAAAAGAAGCCGTATGGAAACGCTCCTAACTTGGGCGATCAGAAATGCTGCCTATGATATCTCTGTCTTTCACGCTGCTCAGTAGACGGTGGATGAACCCACTAATTAATCTGTGCTTTTTTCCCATTGCCGAGCGAATAAAAGCTCTCCATAGAACTACAACGGTTATGTAAAAAAAGGCGATTCTATGTGGTGAAATACACTGATTCGCGAATTGGGTTTTTCGGGAGACGCACCTGAGAACCGGCTGAATCACTCGTTTACGATGTTTTCAAGCAACTGAATGTACTTGTTCTCTTTTGGCTTCTTATGTTTATAGTTAGTCCACACTTTTCCATTGATAGAAATCATTCTTCTTAAGATTGCTGAAAACTCTTCGACAACCTACAACCACCTTCGTCGAAGAATTTTTAGCAACCTTATGAGTAGTGTATCAAGAATATACATGTACCGCGATATCTCCGTTACCGTAGCAACTGAAACATGAGGTGGCCTGGTGCAGTACATTCGGTTGCCTGGAAACAGCACAAACGAGATTTTCAGCTGAGTTTCAGGTGAGTCTCTCGAAAAACCAAATTAGTTTGCAGATGAGTGTATTCCATTAATTTCGTGCAATTTAGGTCCAAGTAGAACATAAGGTTGATGCCCCAAAAGAGGCGAAACCGATCGTGGGTTGCCGAAGAGTAGTGTATTACGTCTAGACATTCTTGGTACTTACTTGCCTGAACAAGACAATTGCAAAACGGGCTGAGCTGACAGGTTCGCATAACGGCAAGTCCAAAAAATCAATAACAATATTGGACTAGGTCGTCCTTTTAAAATAGCTGTGGAAATAAATTAAATCTCCTGTCATCCTCATACATGCACTCACTACACCAAGTAGGGATCCAAAAGGACAACAGGGAGACAGTCCCACAATAGTCACTGAAGAACTGGCCAAAATCTGACTACGGTTCCATGGAAAGGTTCTAATATTAAACGTAACCCCATCTTATGATATTGTTACCGGAAGAAGATGTACCAACGACGTTCGTTCGTGCACCCGCTCTTATTGCTGATCGACCTTAAGTATCTGAATATGGAATGGAATGGAAAGGAAAACCCGCCTGATGGATGTCACTTGTCCCGGGGTTTCATTGTATTTGCCGTGAGAAAGCAGACAAACCGCTCAATCACTTGGTTTACACAAAGTCAACCTGATAACGCTGACCTGAACCAGTACGGTGGAGATGTTCTATCAAATGTGTTGAAGTGATTGGCACACCGGCATGCAAGAGTACAACTGATATGGACCAAAACCACCTCATCGCTGATGGTAAAGTGGACTCTATTCTGGTTTTCCTTTTAAATGTTTTCGAAGTGATTAGTGTTTGCTAGTACCAAGGTTCACTGCATGTTGGAAAGATAGTTCACGTGATATAAACGTCCAGCTCAATAGCAGTGGCAACTGATTTGACGGTTCGAAAGTCCCGTGTTTGATGAACTCGGGTGCATGCTGCCACGAAAACACGGTAGACGACGACCGACGGAGATGGAACAAGTGGTTAGAGCGCAAACTTACCAACCTGAACGTCCTTGGTTCGAACCCGATCACTGCCTCTAGGCCTCCCCTGTCTAGGCTTGGGCAACCTGGCAGTATCCCAGTCCTCGGGCTTCCTTCGGATAGCATGGCAGCTAGGCTGAGAGGTCTTTATCTTACACAGCAGGTCTCTCTGTGGTATATATATATATATATATAATGTTTTTTGCGTATTATCTGCCCCTGTGCTCAGTGTATTCGAGTGGATTAGGCATTATTCGGACGAGGTCAAGAAAAATTACAACAATTCGTTTTATAATCGTAACATAAAATGTGATGAGTGTCACTTAGAAGCCCAGATAATTATAATAAGTATAATTATAAGGTTACATCACTGATCCTAGTAGCGTCGGAAGGTGTCGTGATCACAAGCGTGAGTGTTCTTTTGTCCAAACAAACAAGGAAGCATCTCTGTCCGAAAAGAAAACGTGATTTCAAAGAACTAATAACTCACTTAACAATTCAGTCAGTCAACGGGGACCATGAGAACTAGGCTGTATAGATTAAATTCAGCTCGGGAATCGAAACAATACACACACAAAGGAGGGGGCGGATGATTTTGCCCAGAGTGAAGCAGTATCTTGGTAATGTTTGCGAAAACGGAGGCAACTGTAAAGCTATCGAAAAAAAACACTGGTGGCGGTATTAGTGGTTGGTGTGATGATACTAATGGGAATGTTTATATGTTCTCGATACAAAGTAGCATCTGGTGTGGAATGTACTAGATATCCATGTCTTGTGGCATATCTTGGGGTGAGTACAAAGGAAGTGTTCGCAGCTGACCTTCCGAGCGTGTTTGATAAGGGGAATCGGTTTCAATCAGTTCAGCTTGAAGAATGCCCCGTCGCATTGCTTCTTGGACCGACAGGGTTTCGGTTTGTTCATCATCGGGTGATGACTCTTCTGTGCCATATGGATACTGATGCATCGCGGACGATGAAAGACCAGTTGTAGGCGGATTTCTGACCACCAGGAGCCCGCTGTCGCGATCGATGTAGCCGGCACGTATAGCAGCTGCCACGGTGTATGCATCGCTAACGGTCCTGCTACCCACTTCTTGGCGCTCTACTTCGGGTCGGATGGAATGCACCAAATATCGAGTTCGATGCCTTTCCGGTGTGGTCCATACAACATGCGCATCCAACGTCGACGTACTTTGATCGTCCGTTGTCTGCTCACGAGATGGTTTGTCACGACGTGATTCTGGTGCCAATTTAACAGCGTCCGATAGCACTGCATCCACAAGCGGAATGGCAACACCCATGTCACCGGATGTTTGTCTCGGATCAACCTTTGTGTAGTCCCAGTATACAACACGTAAGATTCCACGATAGAATGCCTCAGCCGCGCTGATAACCTTATTGGTGCCCGGCACAGTAACACCTGTCACCTGCATTTCCAAAAGTTTCCCAGGACTATCTACCCAGACTTCATCGTGTGTTGTGGACGGCGATCCCACGTCCGATCGCTCAGTATCATCTCCTGGGCACCAAGTGATCACGGAGACCTGGGGATGCTCGACAACTTCTTGGTTCGGATTGATACGCATCAATTCCTCATCCCCTATGTAGACCGGTAGTGTCAGACCTGCATTTTCCAAAGTGTAATAGCCACTTGATCGAGTTTGACTCAGCGCATTCCGAAGTTGTGTAATTGGTAATGACTGTGATTGGGTGGTGGACATTGTACCAAACTGTGGAATGTGTGCGTGCGTCCCACATTTTGGACAAACATAGTCCTCTACGGCTGATGCGAATGATGAGGAGTGTTCACGATGCACTTCTGTATAGGTTGTGGTGAAACCAACCTGTTGAGTTTGTTCGTGCTGTTGTTGTGGTTGTGTAGATCTCGTTTGTCTTCCCGGTGCGGAAACAGGTGAACTTTCATCAGTTGGTGGTGATGGCTCCACGACTGCCACGGTCGTCTGACTTGGTGACCAGCTAATACAACTGGGTCCGCGTTGGATACGCTTATTTTTGTGTGGTGGCCGGTTCGCGCCCACAAAACCGAATGTCTGTGTCTCCGCGGTGCGTGTGTTTCCAGTCTGAGACAGAAGTAGGCTTCCTGTAGATGTGTACTGAGTTTTTGCACCAACGAGACGCGTTGGTCTTCCGGTGCCCACCGTTGTGGCCAAGTCTCTGTCCACACTGAGCGATCCTCCACGACGCCTTATTCTGGTGAGTAAGTACGGGACACTCCAGATATTCAGGAGATTATTGAAACAATGTTCGGCATCTGCTTGGAGATCTGTTTCATCAGGTAGATCAAATACATCTGCTTCGTACATATCTTGTTCGCTGAGGTGCAAATGGGTGGCAATTCTGGAATCAAGCGACCGCGCACGACTTTGGACTTCTTCGGTAAGCAACTCTTCACGAACCACCTTCTGAGTACCATCCAGGTAGGTTGTGGTAACCTTCTTTGTTGTTACCGGTACTCCGGCTAGTTGTTCATCATCATCTTCAATGAACTGTCCGTCCAAATTGCTCGGTAAACTTGATGAAAGCAGAGGGGTGCGGCCACGTCCACGTAACTGTTTGATAACCGGGGCGTTGTGGCGGTAGGACTGAATACCGGAACGACGTGCGACGGTTGTGACCACTCGTTTGATCAAGTATTCATCTTCGATGTTCGTTTGCACGCCAATAGTTGCTACACCTTTGGATTGTTTCACATCTTCCTTGATACTTACCGCATCACCAGATATCTCTGAGCCGGTTTCATATTTCAGCAGGTCGGCAGTCTGTGTCACACCAGTCAGTGTGTGCGGGGTACACTGGACTCCCCAACTGACCACGTTGGGCCTCATGTATCGGCCTCCGAGGACTGAACCACGCACTGAGCCTGTCGGGGATGTCATGCTCCCGTATCGTGAAGATACATAGCATTCTGTGGTATCCACAACTTCTGAACGCGTCGCTGCTTGCACTGGTCTTACGTACAGAGGACTTTCCTGTCCAACTTCGGTAAGATCCACCTGAATACCTGTGTCTTGTTGGCGTGAGAACAACCATGAACTGCCTTTTTGAATGCGAACGTGACGTGTCTGAACAGGTGAATGCTTACTCGCAGTCATTAGATCCGTCTGCAGCGAATTATCGGCTCTGGGAACACTTAGTTGAATGGTTTTACTAACATAAGCAGTATGCTCAACTTTGGGCGTTAGCTCGATCGGTTGTGGCGGAAGTTGACTGAATGAAACATGTGTGACGTCGGCTTTGGTGGGCTCAGCTTCTACCTTCTCCGAAAAACTGGTTATCAACTGTGTGCGGAAAAATGACGACTCTTGGCTGGGCTCCGCCTCGGCTTGTATGATCTGCGTGACATATTTGGTTGGAACTGTGTCGACCATGACGTCGCTTGTCAGGCTGAGGGTGGTTTGCATAGCACAATCCCTTCTGTCTGACGGTGTGGCAAACTGGCCAGCGAGTTGTAATACCTGTACCTCAGGTTCCGTTCGGACGGGCTCTTCGATCTGGGTCCATGCGTCGAAACCCGGTTGCAGCACTGTCATGGTGAATGCATCCAAATGGGAAGCTGGAGCAAAGCCCACTGAGTCGGTTGACAGCACCCCTGAAGCTTGCAACTTTTTGTTATGCTGTACTGGCCCGACTTGTGCCTCCGCTTCAACTCGAGCAGCAGGAACCGGTTGGGTTATCTCTGATACAATAGGTCTACTCTCAAACTGACACTCAGAATCCAACTGAATGACCCTAGCCTGTAATTTTTTATTGGAGGTCATGGGTTTCGTGCCTTCTGAACTCACCAAATTGATCTGACACTTTTTATTTCGATGTGGGGTAGCAAATTCTGTGATGCTCTCGACAAGCGGAATAGCTGGATGAAGTCTAAAGCCTTGACTCTCTTTCCTCACGGTGTCCATGTAGGATACGGTTGTTTGGGTCATCTCTTCATCCTGCACAATGGTTTGAGTTTGCACGTCAGAAAGAAGTGGCTCTCTTGGTTCTGTTTGTATGGAGACATCGAGGTGCGGTATGTCGGTGCTCACTTGCAGCTTTTTGTTTCGTGAGGGTCCCTCGTGATAAGTTACTGTGGTAACCGCACAATCGACGGCATCAGGTGCCAAAGGCTCGGTTTGGGTCAAAGCGACTTGTGTTCTGACACCAAGTTGCACGCTGACGTCATACTTTCTTGTCCGATCTTCTTGACTTACTGGGGCAACCACCTCAATCGACAAGGGTTCATCCGTTGCCACTGATCTGGTGCGCGTACTCAAGACACTGGTCTGTGTGACGCTTGTCTCAGTTCGTATACCACACTGAGTGCTTACGTCAGATTTCTCTGGTTCCGTTCTCACTGTCTGCTCCATCGGGAGTGCCACTACTGTCAGAGTATCTTCGGTGTTCGTAGTATAGTCCTGGCCAGCTGCCCGTCTCACAAAGGAGACTTTTGAATCGATCAAATCTTCTGCCGTTTGAGCACCAAATGACCGAGTACCAACTGGTGATCCGTCTTTTTGTACGGATGCTTCCACCTGAATTGGGCTTACGCGAACCTGAAGCTTTTTGTTAAGGCCAGAAGTGATTGTAAACGCTTGATACTGAACCTCAGCCTCATCCATGATGGGTATTGTGGGGCCTTCCGTTTGTGTACTTCCAACGTCTGTCACGTGCCCAGCTTGCGTCTCCACATCGTACAGATCTGCCGAGATAACGACTTGTACTCCAAAGCTATCTTTCGCCACCGATTCCGGCACTTGTTTCACAGGAGCCCTAACGTCAATCTGAATGGGGATGTCGCTGCCAACACAGATGTCGTGCGGTTCAGAATAGGCCGAGAATTGCAGTTTCTTATTTACTCCAGGTGGTGGGGATGAAATTCTATACTCTACAGCCGACTCTTCAACAGCCACCAAAGGCTTCTCTATCTCAGCTGTTTGCGAGCCACACGTGTTCGTCACTGTACCACATTGTAGAGAGACATCCGACAGTTTTGGCGTTATGCGAGCCTGGACACTGGCGTCCTCCACTTGAGCCAACACTCGTTGCACTGGGGCAATTACATCTAGACGAATAGGTTCTCCACTGTCCACCGATCGATCGTACGGAACAGCCTGGATATCGACCTGGAACTTTTTATTCCTTCCGGCTGGCCCGACCGCCTGTTCCAGCTGTACACTCACATCATCTACCGGAACAACAGGTCGCAAGAAATCGTCCGTCTGTGAACCATGTACTGTCGTAACAGTTCCTGACTGCAGCTCAACGTCGTACCTGGTCGGCGTGGGAGCAGTTTGTATGCCCATTTCTCTACTTTCTATTCCTGGTATGACCTGCTGAACCGGTGCAACGATCTCTGCAACAAAAGGTCTCTCACTCTCCAAAACAGTATCGTGTGAAATGGGC